GGGTAAGTGATTAATGACAAAATTTTTATTTTGGGGTGGAGTAAACCTTTATTGAGTTTGTGACTGCGCATTTGAGAAATGGTTATGACTCAATGTCAGTATGACATTATTGATACTCATTATTATTAATAATATACCTTTTTGATCTTCAAAGACATAGCCTTCGCTTATTTACCAAATTGAGTACTACCAAAACTATCCAGAAAAAAATTGGTATGACATATTGAGCAAACTAAGTTTGCAACCTCATTTTTATGCACATCAAATTAAATATAGGTGCAAATTTACCTATGAAAAAAATCACTTTACCTATGAAAAAAAATCACATTAGCCTGTAGGCTTAACTGATTGGCCAAGACTAAATAAAATAAAACAATTTATAATTAGGCACTTAATCAGGTGGCTAATTAATGAATACTACTATGGGAAATGGATATTAATTAGGTTACATGACTGCACACTCCATGAGGTTACAGAGCCACTTCAGAAATCATTAATAATCATGAGTTAAGCCTTGTAGAATTCGTAATTTCACCCAACCCATTACATTTTTACAATTTTGCATCAATTCATAAATGCAGAACCAGTAATTTTGACATTGCAAGTTGAAATCAACGTCCTTAAGCTGTCAACTAAATCAGCAGTGTTTTTATCTCATAGGTGGTGATTTTCGGTCTTGCTTCTGAGGATAATGTCTGAATCTTCTCTGGACACCAGAAGTTGTGACGTTATGAAGGTTCTGGAGAGTGACGGGCCGCACGTGGCCGAACCGCCCGCGACCCTCAGTGACCCCCAACACGTGCCCCAGAACAACGGCACACATGCCCAGGAGTGTGTGACAGACCAAAATTCCTCCCATCAAACACAGGTAAACCTGGTGACAGCACCTCAAGTGGTGCATTTTGGGTAATGTAGTCTAAAGTCAGCAAGAAATGAGATTGTAGCCTCTCGCTAATGACTTAGGGGATGGTGGTATGCTGTTGCCATGGTTTCCATTATCCTAATGTCTCTGCTTAAAGATAGAGATAAGACAACGAGATGAGTGGAATCAGCAAATCGGATCCAAGCTGGCGTTTGATTGGCTAATGCCAGGAAAGAGAGGGAGGACAGTTAATCTGCACCTGAATCCTGCTGGTTTATCTGCAAACCCTCAGGGTGCATGAGCATGCGCGCGCGTGTGTGTGTGACTTTGCCACCATCTGCTCTTGGTGCATTGAGAAAGGGCAGCGGCCAGGTGCATTGAAACACATGCTGATCTCAGCTCTATTCCTCACTCATTGTTCATTTCTCTCTCCTCTCCTGCACAATTAACTGCTTCACTGGTGCACATTTTTAATTACATTTTTTAAATAAACTTTAATAGAATTTTGGAAAAAAAAAGTTAATTGGTTATATGTATATTATAATTTTTTTTTTTTTTTTTTTGTACTATTTCATACTTTATGACAAACAATGTGCATTTTCCTCACTTTTTTTTTCTGATTACCAACAGCTCGTCCAATCAGCACAGACTATTAAACGGTCCAAGGTACGGTATGATCCCAGCATGAGTTGGTTTGCTTATTTATTTATTTTTTTTAATTTTTGGATCAGTTGGTTGTGTTTTGTTTGCCTGCACTCTGTGTGCCTTGTGAGAAAAAGAGAGAGAGTTCGGCAGTGCATTGTGGGAATAAAAGCCCCTGCTCGAGCCAGTAAAGAATAATAAATGTGCTTTGGGGGGATGCTGCGTTTAGCACTTTTGCAGCATGTACCGAGATGCTGGGGGTTTGTAAGACCCGAGCGCCTCCTCCAGAGATTTTCCCACCTACAGTGGCGAATTCTGCTCTGCTCTTGATGCCGTTTCATCAGTGCATTTTAAACAGCCGAACTGTTTTTGTGATTATGTTGAGTGCGTGTGTTGTTTTTAGTGGTTTAGACATTGCTTGCAAAAAAATCATCTCTTGTGTTTATTATCATTTCTAAAAATAATGATTCACATATGAAAAACTGTCAAACTGCTGGTTTTTGTTTTGTTTTGTGTGTTCGTACTTTGAGATTTTCAGACTTTCAGGGCTGTCAGATCTTTATGTAAGCGTCCGTTTTAATAAACACGCTTCTAATTAACGATCTAATCACAAACCCCTCCCTGAGCTCTGAAAAGTCTCCTGAGACGTTGCAAAATGGTGCTTGTGTATTTTTAGTTGCGTTGTTGGACGTTCTTTTGCGAATGAGTGCCAGACATTTTGGTAACCATGGTTACTCTCCTCCAGTCCAACGGCAAGTTAAAGTTAGTCCGCAGCTTGGCGGTGTGTGAGGAGCCGTCTCCGCCTCCGCTTCGAGAACTGACGCACGAACAGGTAAATGTGTGTGTGGGTGTGTACAGACTAGCATTCGATTTACTTTTTAGCTTATGTGACTTAGTTTACTTGCTAATTCACAAACTGTTTAAAATAAAAATAGTACATTTGTGGTTTTCTTAATGTTTTTGAAAGAAATCTCTCCAAGGCTGCATTCATTTGATTAAAAATACAGTAAAAACAGTAATATTGTGAAATATTATTACAAATCTAACTAACTTTTTTCTGTTTGAATATATTTTATATAAATATATATACATTTAATTGTCTTTTATTTTTTAACCATTTAGCGTTTATTCATTTATTATAGTTAATATAATACTATTTAATTTACTGATTTTTACATTACATTTGTAATTTATTCATTTTAATAATTTAATTTAAAAAGTTAATTATTTTTTTATATATTTAAAATTAATTGTCTTCTATTTTTAACCATATCATACTTTAACAAAAAACATTTAATAATAAATGTTTAAAATTTAATCCAAATTTCCTCCCTTTTTTCAGATTTAACAGCTCACTTAGTGTTACAAAAGATTTCTTTTACAAATAAATGCTGTTCTTTTGAACTTTCTGTTCATCAAGGAAAAATGTATGATTTCCACAAAAAAAAAAAAAAACGTACAAACATATTCAAATAGAAAACATACTTTAAATTGTAAAAAATATTTTACAATATTACTGTATTTTTAATCCAATAAATGCAGCCTTGGTGAACATAAGAGACTTCTTTCAAAAACATAAAAAATATGAATGATTCCACATAGAGCTGTGCGTTTATTGAAAGTGCTCGTGTGCACGCGTGTCCCCAGGGCAGGATTGCATTCATCCGTCATCTATACCAAATACAATTTTCCTGTCTCAGCTGCCGAGCGCAGTAGATTGCTATAATTGCCTGTTCTTATCCAAAGCCCATTTTTGTTCTATTTATTAGGTTAGTCTGCAGCTCAGAGCCGCTATTAGGAAGCCCAGAGTTCGCCGCAGGCGGTCAACACCATCAGCTCTTTGTATATGAAGATGCAACTTTATTTGTGCGTTTGGTTATTTTGTAGGGAGGTTATTATTGATGGTGATTTGCGAAAATAGGTGTTTCGTAAAAAGGGTTGTGCAATACAGTCGCGTATTGATATGTCACTATTCTTTTTTTTTCCACAATGTTACATCAGTACTTTAGGTTTCAACACTGAATTTTTTTATATTTTTTATATATTTCAAATATTTGTGAAAATATATATGCACATTATGGAAATTCTCCTTACCTTGACTTTTTATTTTGTAAGTCTACTTATTTATATTATTTATAATGATTTATATATATTATGTATGTGTATATATATATACGTATGTATGTATGTATGTATATATATATATATATATATATGTGTATATGTATGTATATATATATATACGCATGTATGTATGTATATATACGCATGTATGTATGTATACGTTTGTATGTATGTATGTATACGTATGTATGTATGTATGTATACGTATGTATGTATGTATGTATGTATACGTATGTATGTATGTATACGTATGTATGTATATATATATATATAT